GTTCATCAACAATAGTTATTAACGTAACACCTGATCCCCTCTAAAATTTTTGTTTCGCATTTTAAGGTAAAAAATCGACATTTGAAACCGACAAGGTGTCGATTTACTTGGTGCCGTGTTTCACAACTTGTTTATTTATATACGTATAGCGGATGATTTTTTTTGAAAATTAGTATTTATTGATTTTCAGCCCCCAAGTGACTGTGAAAAATAGGCATATCTGATGCGACATTATGACACAGTAATGGTTATGGAATATTATAATAAATCGGTAGAGAATATGGTACAACATTGGAGACGGTGGATGAATGTATAAAAGTTATTGGAGAAGTCAAACAAACGCCAGTGAACCCCCAGTGTGAATAAGCTAATCACAAGAACTTAAAATTCAAACTTAATCAGAGATCACATCTCAAAACACTATTGTAAATCACTATTTTTATCACACCAATTATAATCGTATGAAATCGTGATTCTACGGCCGGATGGTGTGTCAGGCACGGATGTATCTCAGTGTGATCACGATATCGGTGACATTCAGTAATTAATGGTATCTAGCCCTAGCAACATGTACATTGTTTATTGTTTACACGTAGACACAGATAGGCGACGCCGAGACAGAATCAAAGATGAGTTAACTCTATCCGGGGATTGTGCAGTTTAGTTAAATCAACGGTGAGTATTCTAGTATACATATAGTATATCGAATATTTCCATGAAAATTAATGGTCCGTGATAATAATAGTAATATCGTAGCACCATGAAATCGCTTGCACTCAAACCAAAATGTGTTGAAATATGTTAAATTGTTAACTATCTTTAATAAATGAGTCTTCCTTTAGACTCCGTTTTAGCTGTCACGCATTTACCTAATGAGAAACTTAAAACTCGTAAATTTGTTGTTGTAAATCCCTATTCTCGTCGCATCCAAATATACAAAGTCCGTAACACCAATTATAAGATGTACAACTACTACTGATGATTCTACAGCCGGATGGTGTTGTGACAAGTCTCAGTATTATCACGATATCGGTGACATTGAGTAATTAATGGTACTTCGCAGTACCTAGCTACACGACAATGTTGCCAACGCATTGTTGACCTACTTCATAACCTTCTGCACATTGTGTATTGTTTACATATAGATTAGATATAAACGAAGATAGGTGACCCCATTACAGAACAGAATCAAGAATGGGTTTATACTACCTGCTGATTTTGCTGCTCTGTCCAGTCAACGGTAGGCGTTCTATTATATATACACACTATTTAATTTATTTTATTTCATGTTAACGTGCAGAGTTTGGACATGACTCTACATAAACACAATTTTACGTGTACTGCTTTTATTGACGTACCCTTTTTATTTTTGTTCTGCGTCTTTTATAGTTGATTTCATCTGAAAAGGGACAAGTCTCTATTTCTATAGAAGGAAATTTGCGCAAGACTGTTGGCAGGGTTCACGCGAATTCTTCAAAACTATTAGACTTCCTTCAAATTTACTTATAAACCTATCCTACTCGGAGGATCGTTGGCCTCGGAGCGGACTGTATATCTAAGTCTTAATCTATAATTGATACTAGGTTTATTATTTACACTATGTTTCATCATACACATGTGGCCCGGAGTATACTATTCATCACCTGCCTAGCGGGCAGCAGGTGGGGTGAGGTGGCTGTAATCAGAATACATGAGAAACGGTAGATGCCGACTATTCCATTAAACAATGTATGATTTGTTGTATGTCTTCACGTAATAAGTGTTATTTTTTGGCCGGGCCGACGTCGTTCAAACTCGGCAGGCCGGTCACACCTTCAATCTATCTAGGTGGTAAAATTTGAAAAAAAGGATTTGTGAATACCTTCGCGCCAGATATATCTCCTCCTACAAATCTAGGAGCTAAATTCTCGGACATAGCTCATTGTAATCAGCTTTTGTGTGATTCCAAAGTTGTTATTTGTTTTCTTTTTATATCTTTTTCTTATTACCGAGAATTTTGACTTCAAAGTTTAGGTAACTTTTCAGCGGGAACGGCTATTTAACTCTTTTGTGACTGTGACTGTTATTATAGACACCCAAACGTAACATACACGGAAACTAAAATTTAGTAACTGTGTCATGGTAAAACAAAAGTAACAAAAATAGTTTCATATTTCACAATGCTAAGGAATAACGAAATTGTCATCTTATCGAAATCTAGGTCAAAAGGTCAACTTGCGTGAATATACTGAAGGGAAACAGAGTTCTGGCGTTTGTCACCCAATACATGAAATTTAAGATCTAATGAATTTTGGCGATAAAAACAATTTGTATATGTTGCGGAATTCCCGAAATATCGGATATAAAACGGGTTGTTGGTTAATGACGCCACTTATGAATACGATGTCTTAGCCATATCGCACTTGTTACGCGTACTACATTCTCGTTTCCATAGACGTTGAATAGCGTTCTAAAATTATTATTTTTTTTTTTATTTTCAACCAGCTATAATTTTATGCACATAATCTGACAGTTTGACCTAGATTTGACTGGGTGGAATATTTCGGACGTGAAGTACTGTCACAAAAAATATAAACAAAAGTACGATATTATTGTCGGATTTGCAAGAACATCGGTATAATTTTAGGGTTTCCTTTCCTGCATGTTGACTCCTTAGAATGTGTTCACGATATGTATAATTATTTTTGTTTTACCCAAGAAGAAAACATGGAAAGTCATGGAAATAAAATAAAGAGCTTCATGCATGAACTGAGTAAAAAAAATATTCCCGAATCGAACATAAAATTACACCTCTTCATGCATTCGTTAATTTTGTCCATGTTTGGAATTACGGTATGTTTGTAAATATTTGTCTTTTAATATTAATTTTGATTGTTTAAAATGCCAGAATTCATTCGTAGATCTCAAATTTCATATACGGAGTAACAACAACCAGACCTCAGCAAAGGACGCGCCAGTAATTAAAGCGGGAGGGTCGTCACCTGCGCACGCGCGGGAATTGAGTCCCAAGCGACGATAACAACACACGCTAAAAACGCAAATGCTCATGAGTAGACGCTTGTAAACAATGACACGCTGTGGCCATCTGACGCATACGCAGGTGACGACTTCCCTCTAACTTCGATCTAAAGACTGAATGCCCTTTGCATACTTTATATATTTGGGGCTCCGGTACCAATTATGAACCGACGTTAGCTTCACGTTCGTGTCCTCATGGCAACACACTTAAAATGTTTTTTATAGCGCAGAGTATCGCCAATGAGCCTACTGACGTGTTGTTATATTCATTGCACTTGAACATTTTTTTCAGTGACTATGAATATATTCAGTTGTTACATTTACTTACAGGAGTCGTCAATGCGTATGGCGCGTTGGACACCGATCCCTGTGTTACATATACAGCAATAGACGAACCCAAGCGAAGTACTGCATACAGAGCAAATCAAACATGGGAAGAACTGCTGTGTGATGAGAATCTACTTTCAGGATGGTATCGTTTTGTTAGTGGTGCTGGGGGTGAAATGCCCATTAATAACGATATACCTGCTTACCATTGTGGTACTCATATACCTTTGTATTTGAACGGCACACATCCTACGGTGGAAGACGATGTTGTCAATCGTACAGCATGTGGAAATTACTTAGGGTCTCTTTGTTACCAGAAGTACCAAATGCAGGTCAAAAATTGCTCATCATATTATGTATACTTTCTTATCAGAACAAGAGGTTGCTCAGAAGCTTACTGTGCAGGTGAGCTGCGCCACAATATTGTACTATTCGTTCGAAGTCTATGACAGAATGGCGCTATTCATATATTTATCTGACCGTGTCTTATTGTAGCATCGATGGAATGAACACCGTCCTAGAGGATGTCGCCCTGCCATTCTCAGACAAATCGTAACAATTAACTACCAAAAACGACATCAATGTCCCAGCCTACAGAACCTGGTTGTTACCACAAAAAAAAACACGCCGTATAATACTCTTACACTGTAATATTCATTCAATCTCATCAGAAATAGATAAAAAAAAGCCATTGTTATAAACTAGCGCTGACTGGTCATTTGATTTCACGACGTTTACGTATTGAATATGCAAATTCTAAGCTCATAAAGACAGGTCGTTCTATTTTGCCAGAATCGCGCGGTTTCGCGAGCTCGATGTAAACATACTCTCCCACGAACCCGTGTGGGATTGCACCCAGAATTCGCGTATTTCACCTCGACAAAATGCATAGATCTGATTGTAGGGCGCCTCTAAAGGATTCGCCCATCCGAGGTCCATGGCTTAGATGTAACAACTGGTCACAAACAAAATGTGGCGCTGTGATGTCAATCGCGAAAAATCGCCGATGCAATATTTTGCAGGCTTTCAACAGTTCCCACTCTTGCCAGTATTGTCTTCGGTATGTGGTCTGAACAAAAACTACAATGCGTATTTGACACATGAATCAATCATATTTTTACAAATTACTGTATAATTTGGATTTCTATTTACCCAAATTTATATTGTAGGCGATGAGTTGGAATGCCAGTCTGGGTACGTATCTCCAAATGGTAACTTCACGCCTGACTGTCAAGGTAATTATATTACAATGAATAATAATGCAGCCTTAGATTGAACACTTGTCTTTGCATTGATTTAATGGTATTGCTTCAACTGCACAGCCAGCATGGCACGAACACTGATTATGGAAAGGCGTTTTTGGGGCTCAATGGTTTAATAAATAACCCATTTAAAAAACGTACAAAGTTACACTTGTATTTAAACTAACGCATTTCCAAAGGCTATTTTATGTTTTATTACCACGGAAATCATTCGTTATTACATTAAACAAGTGAAATATATATGATACATTTTTGCAAATGTGTACAAACCACACACGAATCAGATATTGCTACTGCGGTTGTTATCATAACTCTTGTATTTACGTTGCTACCTTAACTTACCATCTTCTCTTTGCCACCAATAGACACGCAACTTCTAATTATCACCATCGGCTTCGAAACTATTACTTCTAGTTGTCACCATCCCCAAAAGCAAAATGTAGTTGTATCTAATGCATAATGAACAAAGTTCGCGCAAGCGCATAACGACAGCGTTATTTTGTCAGTGTCGGAAAAGGCAGCTCCCATTTGTAACCAGCGCACACATTGCACATAAAGACCGCGTTCCTTTCCTCCCCATTGGAAACGGAAAATCGCATACTTGATCAGAGCTCATACATACAAACATATGTTTGATTTCTTCATGCATAAATTCACACGATCATGATTATCCTAGAATCAATAAAACGGCACAATCACACACAATATCTTATTACCGTAGCCGCAAATGTGACATACAACAACTCCAATATATATAGCTGTTTATATCTAAATCTACATTGGCGAAGGCTAATAAGAAAATCAACAATAACTACACGTTGTTGCTTTGTCTATTACAGATTTAGACGAATGTACTAGAGATGTCCATTCCTGCCATCAAATATGTGTTAACACGGCTGGGTCGTATTATTGTGAGTGTATGGATGGATATATACTGAATACCGATGGTTATTCTTGTTCACAGACAGGAGCATCAACTTCGGCGAATGTATCAGATGGAATATGTAAAACTCACCACTGCTCATTGATTTTATACTTCTTTATTTACAACCTCATTCACTAGATGTTTAGCAGTTTCCTTATATATCCTTATAGCTAAAATAAAACAGGACAGAACACAATAGGGAATAATTCATTTTATTGTCGCTGGCTTGATGACATTTTAACGGACAAAGTTTTCACAAACTAACACTGTGTTTGAAATAATCATACTCGTGGTGAAGTATGTATATGGGGGTAGAGTGATTCTTATTTTAATGTGAATCAAAACATTTTTGATTCTTAGTCTTACTTTCCATTACGATGAACGGTTGTATACATGAACATGAGTAGTAAACATAGTTTATATTGGATTTAGGATATAGTTGAACTCAATCCTGAAGTTACGAAGTTTATGTGGCTTGTATGTGACATATTTGATTGTGTGAATATGCGGGTAAATATGAAAGTATTCGCTCACACTCAACGCTATAAGATTTTTTCGGAATCCACACGTTGAAAACTCTATTCAAATTAAATTACATTACATTACATTTTTGATCATTTTTCATAAATGAGTCGTCCCGTAGATTCTGTTTTAGTTGTAATCACTATTCTTATCACACCCACATATGATACATGGTATACAAAGTCCGCAGCTGTACTAAGTACCATAAGGTAATTATAATCGTATCTACTTGTAATGTAACAGCAGGGGGTGTTGTGATGTGTCTCAATGTGATCACGATATCGGTGACATTGAGTAATGAATGATGAGTAGTACCTAGATACAAAGCCTTGTTGCTCAT